TGTGAATAACGGTAATTGAATTCTTCCCACCCCTGGGGAGCACTGTTTCGGGAACACCAGGCACTCTGGAAGTTGTGGTTGTAGAGCTCTGCCAGAGGAGCGCTGCACGGCGGAGAGAAGCTATTAAAACATACACAAATTTGCTTCCCAGTCTGATTGTTTATCTTGTATATTTTAAATACTAACATTATCATTCCAGGATTAGCAGAATCCGTTAGATCTCTAAAAGTGCAGCTTCAAAGTCAGCTGAACTCCCCACTGATGGAAGGAGTGAGGAATGCAGAATGTATGAATCGTCCATCAGGAAAAAATAATGCCTTGATAATGAAAATTTGCAAGAAGTGACTACTTAGCAAATACTCAAGGTTGTAATGAATCCTGTTTGGCTGTATAGATAAAACTCAAAGGAGGGGAAGGTGGGGAAGATTGAGGCAGGAACTTAAAGCCCACTAACAGCTCAGCTTCAAAGCTCAGTTTATTTACATAACATGTTAGGTGGGTTAATGCCAAAGAGAAAAACAGGTGTTCTTTCTCAGCTTTACTCCATGGACCACAATTCTGTTTCCTTTCCCCTTTGGCACTCTCTCTCCAGTCAAGAGTATGAGACGGTGTGCTCATCTAAATCAGTAATTAAGCTTTAATACCTGGTCTCAAAGCACTGTGGGAATTGCAGATGTTCTGATGTTTTGGAGTGGATGGAATGATACGAGGCCCCCTGTTGAGTATCCTTGTCCATCTTGGAATACTAACTTTGAACTTCTTGTCTTTATTTTGATGTATGGGAGTGGGTGTTACGTGCTTCTAAATATGGAAATGCTGTACACATGTAAAAAGAAATATATATTATTCATTTCTCCTAAGGGAATACTAGAATCTTACTTTCAACTTTTAGCCACAGATACACAGTTTCTAGTTCAGAAAGCAGGATTTTTCTCATATTGTGATTTTTTCCCTCCCACTGCCTCCCCTGCTGCTGCCTTTTACAGTCATTAATTGGGTATTCTGTCCTCAGCTGAAGGAGGGGTGGGAGACAGCAAATTAATGATATAGGGTTGAGTTATGATTCAGGGCCGTATTTCTTGGACTGCTGAGTCTATTTTGATGGGCATAAAGTCCAGAAACACCTAGCAAAGATTGTTTTCATCCTTTCGGGTAGATTTTGAGTGTGTAAGGAAAGTGGTGGCTGTATCGGGAGTTTCCTGTTGGGTTCCTGGTGGAGCTGAAAGGAATGTGAGCTGGGATCGACTTTTGGCCGTCCCATTATTTATGCTGGATGGGCAGGACTGACGTGGAACTACCTCTGTTTGCTTGACTTCAGCCTTTTCGAGCCCTAACAGAGACGTGGGGTCTCCATGCTTTTAAAAATGACTTTAAGAAAATGGGTTTTGTTGATAGTTACATTTTTGTCTTGGCATCAACATTGCTTCTGTTAACTGTCATGGAGTTATTTTTAAGTGGGCAAATGTAGCGAATTGCATTCACAGAGGTGGTTGTGGGACAGTAATGTAACAAAAATGTAAGTGGATTAAGCCCTTAATGCCACTAGAGATAAGGAGATTTGTGTGTCCAGGTGTATGTGAAGCTGAACTGTTGGTTAAGGGCATATGCAAAAAAGGGATTAGATTAAAAAAACAAAATGGGAGAAGGTTTCATGTCTTCAGCAGCATCTCTGACAGTACCACCTTGCAGGGATCCATGTTAAACAACCTTAACAATTATGTAAAAGAGAGGTAAACAGCATGTTAATGAAATTCATGAGGGTATTAAATATAAGAAACTGCAAATGTGAAAATAGTAGAGAAAAGATACAGAAGACTTGAAGATGTTAGCAAAATAGATAGAAAGGCAAACTCAGCCTAACGAACATAAGTAAAAATAACCTAAATGAGGTAGGTGACACCCAGAAAACTGGGCTTAGAAAATAATCTATGCGTGGTTAGAAACAACCGTGAACTGCACTGATGCTACCAGAAAGCACTGAAAGCAGGGACTTGTCATTTGGTATTGCAGCAAATAAAACACGATTGTTGACTTTGGGGCTTAGCTTAGTAGCAGAGTGAGGAGAAGCTGTACGGTATACAATTGCATCCATTTAGATCTGTTGATGTTTGCGTCTGTCATGATCTTTATGCAAGGATAGTGAACTTTCGAGTGAAGGAAGCTGATCGCTATTTGAGTTCAAAATAAAAAATTTTCTGCGTTACGGTTATTTGTTTAGCATTTAAATATTTCCCCCCACCCTCACACATTGTATTATTCCTCTTACACTTCCTTTTTAAGCTTGCTTAATGCTGTCTTTATATGGTACTTCGTGAAAATTCAGATATGATATACAATTACAGCATATTTCACATTAATGACTAAATACTTGTTTGGTGAAGTTTTTGCAAATTATTTGCTTTTTTCAATTCACTACTAAAATAGATGAGGACTTTCTTATAAAGTCAATGAGAGCTGGCACAATGAATCCTAAAGATTCATTTGAACCCCTGTACTCTATAACAAGAAAAGGGCTCCAAGGAATTTGTAGCTTCATTTTATTTTCTTCGCTACTCATTATGTCTCCTTTGAACCTGTTTCCGTATAATCATCTACCATGTCAATATTGTTTGGACTATTTTTAGTGTACACAGTACCATAAAGCTCTAATTATTTATTTGGACAGCTGTTATGATAGTTATTAATATGCACTTTAAAGCTGAAAGATCTCCTGACTGTTTTGTCAGTCTGTGGTTTAGTGGTGTTTGTTAAAAATTATGATTGTTCTGCTCAAGAACCTTAGTCAGTGCTAGTTCCATAGAAGTCTTTGAGTCTCCAGTGTTTTTCATAATTGCCTCTTAAAGAGTTTCTTGCATCAGTATCACGGAAAGCACATGCAAATAAAGAGGAGCATTGTTTTAGGTGGATATGCCAGGTCCTTAAATCTAAGCTCTGCACTCAAAATCATCAGAGTAACAATGGGATTACAAAGGGGAATGTGTCTTAAGGCCAAACTAGATGAAGGAGGAGTGTCTCTGCCTGAGGAGTAGGTGGTACTGGACTTGTATTTCCCAAACATCATCATCCATTTCACAGCCAGACAACATTCAGCTTCCTTTATGTGCAGGCTTTATGGTTTCCATTGTAAAGTCTTTTAACTATAATAGGCCTTACAGTGTTGTGTAATGTTAATGTGTTTTCCGTGGGCAAATGCGATAGCGGTGCTTTAATAACTAGATGCGGGAGAATGAGGCTTTGTCTCAGTTAACATGAACTGAGTGACACAATAGGATTGGATCTGGAGGATGCAATAAGTAATGGTCCCAATGTCTAGGCGATGTTTGCTGCAAGGTATTTTTCTCTGGGTTAGCTCTAGTTTGATCCTGTGGACCTTAATGCCAGTTAGAGGTTGGAGCATGTTAGGTGCACTCCAGAAATGTATCTTCTGGTTGGTATCTGAAGTGAACCCAGGCTGTGTGCTTTGAGACCTCTCTGAACCAAACTGCAGTGACAAGGGACAATTAGGACAGGTTAGAGAGGGGCTTCAAAACGGTACTCAGTGTAGACACACCTTAATATACCCAACCAGGTTACATGGCACTGCTTCCCACTGCTCAGCTTTGTGGTAGGACATAAAAAGAAGAATAAAGGGTCAGATAAATCAATTTACTGTTTCTGTGGGAGTCTCCTTCCTTTAAATTTTCAATAGCTGTGTAGTGGGTTTTTATTAATAGACCATAATGTATCTTTCATCATCATTCAGTCATAACCAAGGAAGGCTGTTACAGCATAGCAGTCTTGACAATAGTTAACCTGTTTCCTGTAGTTACCAGGCAGTGGTTTCAGCACCATTTATACTCTGCAGTTGTCATGCTGTCTCTTTTTACCCATCTTTTCAGCTACTGTCCAGCTGATGTTGGAGGGATGTTAAATGCTGTGAGTGTGTTTATGCTAATAAGTTGTTGGTATTCTATGAAAATACCTAATTTAAGGGTTTAGTCTGGAGGCTGCTACCCACCCTTTAGAGACGGAGCAGGGAGAGAGAGCAAGAAAACTGAGTCAGAGCACCTATGACTTTGACTTTTTCTTTGGAGGGAGTCTGCTTCTCTCCACTGACTGTGTAGGCGATCTCCAAATAAGGGCACCAAAGTCAAACAGTGACTCTCTGAGACAGTCTTTTTGTTTTGTGCTTGTATAGTATCTACCATGATGCCAGCCTACTGTATCTTAATCACTATGGAAAACCGTATTAGTAATTGCAGCTCACGTTGCTCAAGATCCTGGAAAGCTGAAAGGAGTTACAAGGAGTCGTGGGGGGACAACAGGTCTTGTGCAAAAGCTGAGCCTCGCATGGCATTGTTCACAGGAGTTTTTTGGCTCCATCACAGCAGTCTTTTGGTCTGGGATTTGATTGTGCTGAAAAACCACAACAAAACCAGATGGCTGCAACCGTAACCCCCAACCAAAACGTTTGTGTGTAATAGTAATGAACCATGAATTCCAAAAAGGTGCATGGTCCTAATCATGAATTACATTGTTCATGCATAAATATACTTCACTTGAGGAAGGTGTACGAGAGTGATGCCTCCAGATTTGTCTATGAAACACCATGTTTGAAGTTGCCTCTCACTTCCTAAATGCGCAAGCCCATGAGTTAATCTGGATGGAGCCGAAGAGTAAACATAGTTTAAGCTTTTGCAGTAAAACTGCAGATATTTATATCCTCATTTTGCCATTGCAGATTTGCGTTTGCCATTAAAGTGCATGTTGTATCTCCTTGTCCACACAACTCTTCACATATGCATGGTGGTTTGAAAAAAGTAGAATTGGTATATTGATTAAAACCAAGAAAAGTCATACCATATGTTAATGTGTTTCCCCTGACTTCCCATTTGGACTGACTTATAAGTTCTGGTCCTAAGATAGTTAATAAGCTTTCCAAGTGATTGTGTTTTATGTACCCAACCATTCTTTGGTCTCTCACTCTACCTAAAAATAAAGTCTCTGATTCTGATTGCTAGAACCCCTCTGATTGCTGCGGGAGTTATTGGTGGCCTCTTCATCATCGTCATTGTGGGCCTAACATTTGCAGTGTATGTTCGGCGCAAAAGTATTAAAAAGAAGAGAGCATTGCGAAGATTCCTGGAAACTGAGGTGAGAGCATGCTTCTCAGAGAATATTTGAAAAAAATATGCAGAGCTGTTTTGCTTCTATATTGAAGATGTTCAGATCTTCAGTCCCGTTACCAGAGAGGTCTATAGAAATCCTTTTGCGAACTTCTGCAGGATTGATCTGATGGAATGAATGAAGCTATTTCAAGATATTAGTTTTCTGTACATATATAGATTCCTGGCTTTTGAGGACCAAAAAAAGATCCATGTGATCATGAACTCATGTTCCACCAGATTTTTTGAACTCCCATCCTGCTCTCAACGGAACTTCTACCCCAGTTGAACATTACATTTAGCAGCTCTCATGCTTAAATATTACAGGTACATACTGAGTCCAGTACATACTGAGGTCGACTTTTAAGACTGAAATAATTTCAGCAAGCTCTGATGCAAACTTAAGCTCATCAGGAATGCTTAGATGCAGAGATTGTCACTTACTGGTGTTCCTAGTGCCTGTATTGCCTTTGTAGTCCAGATTTTGTCAAAGTCTGTAGTCATAAGCAGTAATAATGATGTATTTTATTAAGCCAAGATACTTCCCAGAGCTTAGCCAAATGAGGTTCGCAGTTCTACTGGCAAAGACGTGCAGTGGAGCTATAGGAAGGAGTGCTGTGCCTACTCCATCCTGCTTGTTGAAATGCCAGTAGTGGAGGTGGCAGTCTAAGAAGTATATTTAAACGTAACATTAAATCTTTATCTGTCAGCTACAGCAAAGGTGATTACTACCATCTCCTCAGTCCTATGCTTGACACACTTTGCAGGTGATGATGTTTTTAAATTAAGGACCCCCTTGTAAGGTAATAAAGCTTGAGAATGTTGTGAGCTAGTAATTCTTTGACAATGCTGTTTTCTGTTCTCTTCCAAGCGTCCTGCTCCCACTCATCTCCACTGTAGACCCTGGAAGCAAATGATACATGCATCCCCGTTCTGTTTGTCTAATTTTTATGCTTGGCTAGAATTTGTGTTGCTTCTTAAATACTGTTCAGTTGTATAGAAAGCTTAACAATACTCAGTGCCGTGAGATAAGTAAATCTTGCCTTTGTGTCATCCCCTACTTAGATGAGGCATAGATGATTTTATGCAGGTAGTTTTCATTGGATTTGAGAAGTATTGCCTTTGAAGTCTGGCTGTTGTTCTGCATTTGGTCAGATAGAAGCTGTGGCTGACAACAGTTCCTGAAGGACCAGAGTCTCCCACTGAATATGTGGAGAAGCTGTTGTCTTGTCTTAGTTACTGAAAATTAAATCAGGAGCATCCTGAGATAAACACACAAGTGACTATAGCTTCAGCTAAAGTCTCTATTTATAGCTGGAGGCTGTGACAGACCTGTTCTTTATGTAGATCATTCTCAGTAAAACTCTACAAGCATTTTTTTAGATGCTCACAACACTTCTCCCTGACATACCTGTGTTGGTGGACTGTGGCCAGAAGCTGCTTTCATCCTTCACACACTGAAAATACAGAAGAGTATCACCAGTCTATCAACTTTTCTTTTACAGTAAACCTTCTTTCTTTTGCCATGTAAGTGCTGGACATCTGAAGTGGGAAGGAGGAAAGAGAAATCATTATAAAAAAAGTACAGCTCACAAATTATTTCTGTGATAAGCTGACTTGTTGCTGTTTGGTTTTGTTATGTTTTCTTACTCCAATAATTTCCAGATACTGGTATTTTTTACCTGAACCAAAGTACTCTGGTCAACTAATGAAGCAGCTCATGATGCTCAAAGACCCATAGAAGTAGTTCTCAAATTGCAGAGCATTGTTCATTTAGACTTGTAAACAGACAACTCTGAATTACTGCAGTGGCTCTAAACCACTTTGAGTAGGAGTAGCCCTGAGTTATTTTCTTCATCCTGTAAAAGAACAAACTATTTTTCATTGTTTAGAGTATTGTCCTTTTCATGTATTTTTAATTTATTTTTAAAGAAGCGTTGTTTTTTCTGGCAGAGATGGAATAACATTGAGATCTGAGAGCATTTTTAACTGAATGTACCATTGTGACTCATTTACAAAGTTTCTTGGGACATCTTGAGCAAATTGTTTAATTGTGCCATTTTGCAGTAAATTAGTGGCTGTTATAAATTAGTGGTCTCCTTAAAGCTGTCCTCCTGTGTGGTATAACAGAAGTTCAGAAAAATAGTCCCTTCCCCAAAACAGAATAAGACTGTGATGAGCCATTAAGTCAGAGCTATTAGAAAGAAATATGGCCAACTTAAAAGGCACTAAAATGGGCAAAAATAGAGTGTGGTGCACTGATAATAAATGCTGTATTTCTGTCATGTAGAAAATATTTATACTGCCTCCATTAGCAAAAGTCCTTGGGTGTGTTATTGTGACACCAATTCAATTTCCAGTTCATAATTCCATCATGCATTTCCTGGTGGCAATGACTACACGTTGAGTGAGGATTTTCTTTATTGGGTCTCTTGGCTTCTTAGCATTGCTCATTTGCTTTTGAAGGTGAGAAATCCCTCCATAAATTGGCAGGTCAGTGGTCAATAGACTCCACCACTGTCTTATTCCAGTACTTACTTGGATTGGTTGTTTTCAGTATAAACTTCTGAGGGGTCTTCACATTTTCAAATATTTAGGACTTTTGGGTTTTCCTTCATAGCTTGTGGAACCCTTGACTCCAAGTGGCACTGCACCCAACCAAGCACAGCTTCGTATCCTGAAGGAAACTGAGCTGAAAAGAGTCAAGGTTCTTGGTTCTGGAGCCTTTGGAACTGTATACAAGGTAAGAGTCTTCAATACACAGCAGTGACTTCCTTCATTTAACTGTTGAACAGTCAAATTCTGCATTGCAGCAAAGCATCCCGTACCCTGGATGGGACCTTAACCCCACGTGTCTGGGAAACTCATAGAATAGTGGAATTGTGTGAGAGGCATCTTCAGGCTCAGATGTTAACTTCAGTTTTAATCAGATACGCAGATATTATTTCTTGGTGAGAAAAAGAGTGTCAGCCACAACATCCTTGCATGCAAGAGGACTACACAAGCTGGGCTGTCTGGATATTAAAATGCAGTATCAAAGTTTATCATTCTGTGCTTACATAATGGCTTTACAGTACACTTTTGGAAAGCTACATAAACTGTCTCATTTTGCAAGTGTCACGTGGGTCTTGTAGTAGTGATCATACCTTGTAAAACATGTTGTTTTATATTGTCATTAGCTAAACTGTAATACTTTTTGTTTCGTCCATTTAAATAGGAAAGGTGAGTTATGTCAATGCACACTTTAACAACCAATATATAAGAGCAGAACCCACAAGGGAAAAAATACTTCCATTAAAGATTTTTTTAAGATCTGTTGGTCATGTCCAAATCGCAAAGGCATGAAGTAGGGCTTAATGAACAAGTCAAACCAATCGCCCAACCCTTTGGGAGCAATGCAAACCTGCCAAATCAAGGTGGTAGCTCAGAGCAGTGGAGGAGGACAGATACTGCATCTGTCTTTAAACTGGGGAGGAAATGGAGGAAGTACTGACCAGGTCACTGCAGCTATAAGGTCATGGGAATACATTTTTGACTAATCAGTTTGAATAAAAAAAGACTATATATAAAAAATATATATATATATATAAATATATAAAAAATAAAGTGATAGAGATGGGTGGAATTTTTATTATGTTATAACTTTGTGTATTCTCAGTTCTGAGGTTCATAACTGAACTGCATAACATAATGTGTCAAAAAGAACTCTAATTCTGCATGAAGTAACTATGATTTTTGTCTTGTGTCATTTTTTTTTTTAATCATTCTAGGGCATTTGGGTCCCCGAGGGAGAAACCGTGAAGATTCCTGTGGCCATTAAGATCCTTAATGAGACCACTGGTCCGAAAGCCAATGTGGAGTTTATGGATGTAAGTAAGAGATGATCAGCCTCTCTGAGTCTTTGCGAGGGGCAGGAGGGTGTGCGTGTATGTCTTTCTGTAGTCCACAGAGATTGTAGAGAGGGATTTCTGCCAGTTTTCTTCCTTATGTTTAAGTAGCGGAAGGGGGCTTGTACACAGGGCTGATACTGTGCTGATGTTCAGCGAGTGCTACGGTATCATGTCTCTAGAAAAAACTCAGCTGCTGAGATTTTGTGTGTAGGCCATTTCCCTCCTTCCCTTAGTCTTTGACAAACTGTCTCGGTGTTAATGCATGTCTGTAGCATTCTCTATTGCAGCAATGTTCAAACAAACAAAACAAACCAACCAAAAAAAAAACCCAACCATGGTTACACCTCAGTGCTGCTTCTCTGAAGTTGTAGAGCTAGGCAGATCTGTATGAGACAGTGCTGCACCCTGTTTAGTTTTTTGCATGTAGGTCATTCCATTCCAGACCCACAAGTACCTGCACTAGCAGGGTAATTAGTGGCATAGTGCCAAGTATGATGGACCCTAAAGTGCCCGGAGTTTTCTTATAAATGATCTTCCCGTCAGTGGAAGGCTGAAACTCCTTTGTCTCACGTGGCAGATATTTTATCTTTCCATTGGAAGAGAAGCTAGAGACGAGAGAGTAGTGGCAGAGGAGCACCTTGCTATGTATGCAAGTCTCCACTGGTGCAGAACTCACCGGAACAGAAATTTAGCCTCAGGTCTCTTCTTCTTCGGTGTTCCTGAGGACTAAGCACTGAGAGTCTGGGAGCTGTCAGCAGCAGCAAAGCATAACAGGGAGGGGAAAGAAAATTGAAATACACTGGATTTCAAAAGCTCTTTTGCCTTACTATTTTAAAATATTGTTAATAAGAGGTCAAGATCATAATTTTCATTAATGTTCCACGATCACAGAGACTATGCACTCCGTTTTTAGCTCTGTGTCAAGATCAAGCCTCATTGACACTGCGAATGGGTATGTCCTATTCAGCGACATTTTTTTTTGACAAATCATAGAAATTTGCACTTTTTTGTAAATCCCTCTTGTGAACTTGAAAAGTACGTAGGACTTTTAAGTCTTGAAGGTCTGTTCAGTGTATAGGCTTAATTCGGTTAGCATAAATGAGACCGTAAACCACAAGGAGAATGAACTCCTGTTATATAGTCTATTCTTCCATCTAGAAATGAATAGAAGTGTACAGTTACGGATTTAGCTGTTTCAGACAAATTATCATGTGTTGAGTTCTTAGGCAATTGAATGAAGGCTGTATAGATGAAGGGATTTCCTATGCATTTTACAAAGCACTGCAAAGTATGTATTCAATAATCATTGTACACAGATAAATAAATGAAAAAAAAGCCAGTTTGGCCCTATTCAAAAGGAATGAATTGCACTAAAGGGATAAAGAGTATTAGATGTTTGTTTAATGGACAAAATGGTGGTCAAGAGTCTTGTTAATGGTAGAGCTCCAGAAAGAGGAGAGCTGGTATTCAGCACCCTTTTGAAGTGAACGTGGTGGGAGTACAAGGCTGCTGAATGTTACCTGTGCTCCATGTCTGATGCCAGTGGTCAGTGATGTAGATTCCAAGCTCAAGATAAGAGAATTGTTATCACTGTATGAAAGTCAGTGGAACTGAGCAAATTGCACCAGCTGAGGATGTGACCACTGATCTGATGGAGGAATAATAGTCATATCTTCTTCTCTGATATGGATTAACCTTGAGGCACTCTACAAAGAAAACATAAGGTCCTTGTTAAACGACAGTTACTTGTCTGAGGCTTCATAGCTCAGTTTGATCAGCTGACTTAATTCACTGGACCACATTTCCCTCCAGTATATGCAGCGTAACATCTGATCAATGGCTCAGAGATTATGAAGGTTTTTTAGAAACTCTAGTGATTTTAACTATGTAAGGTACAGCCACACTATGAAAGGTTTCTCTTGATATTAACAGTTTCTCATGAGTCTCTGACCCAGCAGTAATAAGGTGAGAGAAGAGTTGAAGTTACTTTTAGTCCTACAGGTTAATAATAACCTAAAGGTTATTTTTAATCATAATAAAATAGAATTGGACTTCATCATTAGTTGATACAAGTGACAATAAGGAGAAATAAAATGTTTTGTCTCAATACTGCATTTGATATCTGTACAGTGGTCTGTAACATCCTTTGCTGTACTGCATTGATGAAGAAGATTTGATTTCATTCTTTCGAAATAATTGCTCATGCAATTGTACAGATGTTCCTGCCATCCTCACCGCCTAACCCAGTCATTTATTTCCTGAAAAAAAGCCACATTTTGAAAGAGAATGACCATTGTTCATGGTTTTAATGTGACCACTCCTCTTGGTCCTAGAAAGGACATAGTTTTAAACTTTGTAAAATTTTAAGCTATTATGACGAGATAAATATCTTTCATTAAAGTGTAAGTTATGGAAATATATAGAATATCTAGAAAAATGTGTTTTACTCTTTCTCACTCCAAGTCTCTGGTCAGTATAACTATCCTGATAAAACTTGGTACTGTTTACTGGTGGTTTTTTTTGAGGAAAATTTAAGTGTACATATGAAAGCAAAATTAATCAGTTGTGATTTCTGTAAGAAGAGTATTATGAATAGTCGTTGTTGGTTTAAAGCAGTTGTATCAGATTTTTTAAAGGTATATAGGTGACTAAGTGCCATTAGGAACACAGTGGGGGTTAACTCTTTCTTAAGTAAGTGTCTGACATGTTGGTTGTGAATGGGAGGAGGAGGTTAGTGGGAAGGAGGTGTCATTATATGAGTCACACCCATGACTTTCATTGTTCTGTACTTGTCAAGTATAGGTGTACTTTTATCAGCAATTACTTCTTACTCAATTGTGTATGTCCTTGTACTTGCAAGGAAAACTTTTAGAGAGGCTCTGGAAGATGTAAAGCCTCTTGTAAACAGCAGTTGTGTACAGGGAGAGTACTTCACACACTTTAGTGTTTACAGAAATAGCTGGTATAGATGTCAGTGGCATTGTCCATAGGCTCTGGTTAAAACTTCTAATGTTGGCAGAATGTAAGTCTAAAAGTGCTCCGCAAGCTCCTGAAATTCTGCTAAATGTTATGCTAAAAGAGTAAAGAACAACAATTTGGCTACTGGGCTGTCATTTCAGCACCTTGAACACCCACTAATGGATCCGTAATGACTATAATGGTATAATGCATGATGTTAGCACCTGCTATGGCCAAACACCTCCCACCCTTCTCCCATCAGGGGATGATGAATTGGCCATCTTCAAAAACTACATCCCCTATTTGGAATTTTTCTTCGAGGAGTTGCAGCAGAGTCTGTTTTTTGGGCTTTCTCCACATGTTCCCAGCTAGCTCTTTTTCTTTTACTCTGTTCCCTTCTTTCTTATGTAGCTTTTATCACTGCAGTAGTCCATGTCTGTTAGAACAATGCAAGCTGAAGTCTACTAAGTAACCCATGCTGCCTTCGCCAGGGAGGAAGCAGAATGTACATGTGGACTTCTATGGATTTGTTTTCACTGTGCAGAGGTTGTTGCTACTCTTTTAAAAAATGTAGGTTTGCCCTTTTTCCATGTATTTCTGAATACGTATTATCTCTGGAATAATTTCATAGTCTAAAGAATTTCCCCTCAGGTGTTGAAATGGTTGTGTGCTTCAGTTGGGGGGCACAGTTTCTCCTCCCTGCTTGGCTGGTCACGCGTTATCGTCCCCAGAAGGGTGCTGGAATTTGAATTCAGAGTACAGGCGTTGTTGCCACTGGTCTGCCTGCAAGCGTATCTGGGAGTGGAGTCACCAGCAGATGCAGAGGGTATTAGGAGGGAAGGATATCCTGCTCCTCACCCCAAGGCTCGTAACAGAATATGTGTGGGTCCTGAGTTTTAGGGAGGGAAGAGAGGCTTGTTGTGAGGAGAAAAGGCAAATAAGCACCTAAGAGGCTCCTTGATAGTAGAACAGGGACTTACGATTTCGCTTGTGAAAACAATTTCCCCTCCTCAGCCTCAAATTATTTGACTGTTATGATTGTCTGATAAGTCAAGTAGCTATTGCCCTGATCAGATGGTTTAACATCAAACCAGATGCTTGGCTGATAATGTAATACATTCCAATGTAATAAATTCAATGTCATGCTGTAGTTGGAAAGCATAGCAAACCATCTTTGAGACTAAAAATATGTATCTTTAAACTAACTTGTCATGGGGAAACAGACAATTGATGAGGGCCTTTCCTCTCTAGCCCTCTAAGCTTTGTGTTTCCAGGAAGTAATCCTGTGAGCTGTGATTCTGTCCAGGGTTTTGATCCACTTACAAGTTTAATCTATCCTCTCTGAACTTAAATGCTCCATTATCTGTTAGAAAATAATTAGAGGCTGCAAGCACAAGTCTGCATACACAGAGTTCCTTGGGAGTCCCTGAGCTCATTGAGATGAAGACAGTTTGACTGATGGTGGTCAGCTGATACTGGGCCAGAAGCTAATAATAGAAGGCTGTGCTGCTTAGCTAGGTGAGAAAGTTAACTTGGGAAAAATTAAACTGAAGGGTTTGGGATTTATGGTTGGAAATAAATTTCCCATTCTCATTTGTTTCCTGGTAAGAGAGCTTCAGAGGCAGTTGGTTTCTTTTATGGTTTTATAATTAAGATCTAGGGAGCTTCTTGACTTCGCCTGGACTTACTGTAGTTCCCTGTCATCTCTAGGAGCAGCATTCAGCGTGCAGGAGAGCATTTGTCAAGTGAAGTGTAAAGGTAATAAGTGACAATGACCTCCACCAGGCATGCAGCAAACAAATTAAAGCTGCATACAGGAGGCTAATACCTCCATCTTTTATTTATGTCTGTCCTAATTTACAAAATTAATAAAGCAGTCAGATGTCTTGTGCTGCAAAAAGAAACAGCTTTTCCTAAATTGTAAGCCTGTCTTGTAATAAAGACAAGTCCTCAAGATGTATCAAACTTACCTTTGGTTCAGAGGTTTCAAGAGGAACAAAATCATGTAGCTGACTAGCAAA